GTGTCCAACTCTTGATTTCGGCTCAGGTTGTGATCCCAGGGTTGTGGGATTGAGCCCCGCATAGGTCTCGGCACCGAGTGTGGAGACTGTTTGGGATTCTGTCTTTCTCTCCCCCTCTGCCCCCTCCCTCACTCATGCACACTCTCTCAAAATACATAAATAAACTTAAAACTAAAGAAAACCATTTCATTTGCAATTACATCGAAAAGAATAAAATACCTAGGAATAATTTAACCAAGGAGGTGAAAGCTCTATACTCTGAAAACTATAAAACATCGATGAAAAAACTGAAGATGACACAAACAAATGGAAACATATTCCATTCTCTAGACCCAATATTGCTAAAATATCCATTCTACCAACAGCAATCTACAGATTTAATACAATCTCTATTAAAATACCAACAACATTTTTGAGAGAACTAGAACAATCCTAAAACTTATATGGAACCACAAAAGACCCCAAATAGCCAATGAAATCTTGAGAAAGAAGAACAAAACTTGGAGGTATCACAATCCTAGATTTGAAGATATACTACAAACTGTAGTAATCAAAACAGTATGGTCCTGGCACGAAAATAGATGCATAGGTCGATGGAACAGAATAGAGTCCAAAAATCCATCCACACTTTTATGGTCAATCTACAGCAAAGCAGGTAAGAATATACAATGGGGGAAAAGACAGTCTCTTTAATAAATGGTGCTAGGGAGATTTGGCGGTTGGGAAGATGGCGGCGTAGGAGGACGCTGGGCTCACTGCATCCTGCTGATCACTTAGATTCCACCTACACCTGCCTAAATAACCCAGAAAACCGCCAGAAGACTAGCAGAACCGAGTCTCCAGAGCCAAGCGCAGACGAGAGGCCCACGGAAGAGGGTAGGAAGGGCGGTGAGGCGGTGCGTGCTACACGGACTGGCCGGAGGGAGCCGGGGCGGAGGGGCGGCTCGCCGGCCAAGCAGAGCCCCCGAGTCTGGTTTGCAAAAGCGGAGGGACCAGGCGGAGTGTGTTCTGACAGCAAGCAGGACTTGACATCTGGAAGGTTATAAGCTAACAACTCTGCTCGGAGAACGGGAGGGCTGGGGGACAACAGGAGGGAGAGTTGTTGAGCCCC